CTGTGGATTAGATCTCTGGGTCAAATGCTCGATGGTGTGACTACTTCAGGAGACCACTCGTTTCGGTTTCAGCACCTAGGCAGCATTCCAGGCCACATGCAAGCTGAATGTTAACTACTCTGTGTAACTCATATGTAATGTGGTGCATTTCTGTACCGACGTTTATTTTTTAAAATAATTCAGGATGTCCTTAATAAAACGTAGTTAAAGGTTAGTGAGTAATGTTCCTCTTCGATTTTTCGGTTTGAAATCAGGGTTTTCTAACCTCCTTAGATGGGCTCTCCATTATCCACCAACCCGGTTACAAAGCGCAGGACATTCGCTTTTCATACTCTCAATTTCGTAAACAACACTCCCGCCATGAGAAGGCAGTGAGTAGTACTTCCCTGGTAGTGGCTGTATGCACGTGGCCATGTGAGAGCACTTCGAAAGGCAGAGCTGACTCTCCTCACCCTTGGCCGTACCAGGGCATTTGGGGGCCCACGTATGATGATAGACTACTAACATCAACCCTTCTAATCATTTTGGCACAGTTCTTTTATTTACAGGAATACTTCTAGGTTTCTGACTAGGTATACCTTTGGTTTTCTGTGTCATAATTGAATACAACGGTTCATTACATCATAGACAGTTGCAAAGCTGCTTAGTAATGCTCTATATTGGTTTATTGTATTAGAACCAAACCCACTCTCTCTCTCTCTCTCTCTCTCTCTATATATATATATATATATATATATATATATATATATATATATATATAAGACTTGGATCCACTTGTCTTCCGCAATGGTAGTCTGCTTCATGTAGCGACAATTCGAGATCAATAGACAGTAAAGCCGAGAATAAATAAATGAATGGAAGTATGGTTCCACGGTGATATTTTAAGACTAAGGTTGGTATGTTTTCGTACTTGTTATCACAGTCCGTAGGTTCTCTGGTACTGTTCACATATCTTAAGCCAAACTTTTATCCTAATAAGGAAGTCGGAAATGCCTATCGCAGTTACGCAATCGAGTTATGTTGTCTCGAGCATATTCTTTTGAGTTGTGCCATGTCAGGCAAGTCGATTAAGTGTCAGAAAAACTAAAAGTAATCATTTTAGCACCTAGAGAGAGGTTCTACTGTAGACTGTACTTGGATGTGTCAGCAGAATGGCGTTTTCAACGGATAACTGGAATTTCAAGTAATGTTACCTCTCTACAGAAAAGGATTTATAAAGATTCGTCCCCAGAAACAGCTCACTTTGCCTTGCCCTAAGAATCCCCAGTATCAGCGGTAAGATCCGAAAAGTTCAGAGCTAACGAAACAAAATTATGTATTACCGGTTTCAAACTATTGTCTTTTGGTTTTTCTACTAACACTCCTACGTCAGCAAGGTAGTCATCATTATTAGTTTCCTTTCAACGTTCCTCCAGAAGAAGCTACCTTCCACAATGTACCATATATGTGAATGTCAACCATCCACAATCTAACTGCATACAATATTCTTACTATCGATCCTGCTTTAATCCCATATCTTTTAAATATAATCGGTGTTAATTCTCCGATCTTACGAAATGTTAATCCTAGTCTTCAGATTTTGAAATCCCTGTTACAATTTTCAACACCACAGCGGACATAAATTTTAATTCGTTTTCTCATTGTTTGTTTTAATCTTAACCATTGATGTCCAGGACTGTAGTTATCCAGTCTCATATTGGTATGCATCCTGTGTGAATTGCTTCGATATTGCCTTAATTCACAAGCATTATAAGCAAAGACTGATAAATTGCAGTCCTAAACATCAATGGTAAGATTCAAACAAGCGATACATGAATAAAAATTCGCTTCATTGCACAAGCTAGTGACTATCTGAACTCCGTAGCTAAGTGGATAACGCGATGGCGTTTGATACGAACGGTACTGAGTTCGAGTAATGCAGTGAACATCAACTCTGGAGTACAGGTATACTGTGCGGCAGTTCGTTCTGTTTTACTTTACGGCTGCTAAACGTGGCCATTTTGAGTAGAAAATGCTCATATGTTGCTAGTATTTGATCACAGATGTCTTAGAAATATTGCTCGAATCTGCTGGGATCACCGGGTAATTAATGGTGACGTTAGACGCGGGGCATTCCGAAATAATGGTAAATCAGTTGATGAGGTTGTAAATCTTCACAGACCTAGATGGTTGGCCACGTGTTACGTATGCCTGAACACCGATTACCACGACGCACAATGCTGACCAGTATTGGGGATGGTTGGAAGGAAGTTAGGGGCGGCCAAACCAAAACGTGTCATCAGTCCTTGAAGTTACTAACTTCTAGTCTGACCCATGTTGGTAGATACAGACTACTAGGTTGGGGTCCGTGCGGCTATTGTAACCGATGGTTGTAGACTATGGGTGACATGGCTCAGATTCAATCACAATGGCGTAGGTGTCATATCCTTATATATAATTTTGCTTTTATATATTACTACCATTGAAGTAACTGCTTCTATGAATTTGGTGTTCATCTTGTTGTGCTAATTAGGTGTGGCAACTTGGACCGATGCATATATATGCCTGAACCTACGTTGTAGCCGACTGACTGACTGGGATACAGGTACATCCAGCTGGCGAGTCCCAGATAGGACGAGACGCGCGTCCTGGATTCCATTGCTATCCATCTTTTTTTATAGGACAACGGTTTCTTCTAGCAAAAATCTCAAGATCTTATATTGATGTGTGCTATACATCTGAAACCCATATAAATGATCCACAATTCACCATTCATCTAGGATCACCTAACAAATGTGACAAAGCACCCCCAAATGCCCTGGTACGGCCAAGGGTGAGGAGAGTCAGCTCTGCCTTTCGAAGTGCTCTCACATGGCCACGTGCATACAGCCACTACCAGGGAAGTACTACTCACTGCCTTCTCATGGCGGGAGTGTTGTTTACGAAATTGAGAGTATGAAAAGCGAATGTCCTGCGCTTTGTAACCGGGTTGGTGGAAAATGGAGAGTCTACCTAGGGGAGTTAGAAAATCCTGATTCCAAACCAATGGTGCATATGTTCTGCAGTATCCTGAAGGAACAAATGACGTATGAACCAATTGTTGGTCATTGGCTACTATGGGACTGCATCTCCTGACGTTGCTCCATTGCCTTGTGGATCTGACTTTTAGGTCAAAGGCTCGGAGAGTGACCACCTAAGAAGACCACTTCCTTCGGTTTGGGCACCCGGGCAGTATCCAAGCCCTCACACAAATCGAATGATTTATTTGGTGCTTCCTTATTCCAGTGTTTATGTATTTAAATAAAATTAATTGGTAAATAATAAGCCTTTTTTGCGGCATTCCCGAGGAAGCGGGGTTCTGTTCCTTAGCTGGATACCTATCGATAGTCGTTTATACGCTGTCCGACCATCTGTCGTGGTAAAAACTCGAGAATATCAGGACTCCCACTATCTAGTTGTCGTTTGTTTAACTCCCCACTAAATTCAGCCCTCACGAAAAGAATGATATAGAACTTTATAACCTCATCCACAATGCTTCAAACATGAAGTATGAAAGTAAAAGACGTGAGTAAACTATGTATTTGGTTATTAATATCTTCGGTGGGTTGTTTGCGTACCTGTTTATCTTCAATAACACATGTTGGCATTTTCCGGTCTTCATTGTCTTAAAAAATAATTGTGCACTGTTCATGCACTTTTTTATTTACACTAGTTACATTTATTGCATAAAGCTTTTCGGAATTTTTTTTTTGAAATAAAGTTTGTTAACTTTACGTTTTCGGTTGGTTTTTCAGATACCTGTTCATTCAAGAAGTAGATGTAAGTAAATCATTGATGGATTTCTTATCCTCCGTGACCGGATTTATATCAGATGTGTGTAATAATGCTGAAAGCATTAACTTTGAGGATATCATAGATGAATATGAAACAAAAAGTAACGTAACTTATTCGTTATTTATTATGCAGCCTAGGTGCCTCCTTAATCAGACCCTTATTCAATGTGGATGATGATTGTTATGTAGGCCTCACGGGTGATGGACCCTATGTAAGTTATCCGATCCAGTCATTCCTATATTTCAGAGTTCCTGCATCAGCCCTGATGTCAATAAGTCTCCGAAACTACAGAAGTCATCATCAGTATACCCAAAGTTAATTAACTTTGTCTATCCTTCAGAAGACGAAATCAAAGCACATTGCGATACAGTATGTATAACAGCTTCTACATCTGTTAACAAACCAATAGACCTTACTAGTCCAGACTTCGATGATAGTTTTACTGGGTTTGATTTAACTCAAATTATGAATGTTTCCGAAGTTACTAGTTGTAAAAGTGTCGACTTTAGTTTAGATTCACATTTAACTAGTTTCAAGACAGGTAAAGGGGATTCTGTGACTTTGATGAATTCATCATCTCGGAAGTTCGCTCGAACACTTGTGGACTCGTTAAACGTTGGTGATAATGATGTGGATGTGGAGAAGAGTCATGAGAACCACGACTCACATTTCACTGGCTTCAAAACAGGTAAAGGGGATTCTGTGACTTTGATGAATTCATCATCTCGGAAGTTCGCTCGAACACTTGTGGACTCGTTAAACGTTGGTGATAATGATGTGGATGTGGAGAAGAGTCATGAGAACCACGACTCACATTTCACTGGCTTCAAAACAGGTAAAGGGGATTCTGTGACTTTGATGAATTCATCATCTCGGAAGTTCGCTCGAACACTTGTGGACTCGTTAAACGTTGGTGATAATGATGTGGATGTGGAGAAGAGTCATGAGAACCACGACTCACATTTCACTGGCTTCAAAACAGGTAAAGGGGATTCTGTGACTTTGATGAATTCATCATCTCGGAAGTTCGCTCGAACACTTGTGGACTCGTTAAACGTTGGTGATAATGATGTGGATGTGGAGAAGAGTCATGAGAACCACGACTCACATTTCACTGGCTTCAAAACAGGTAAAGGGATTCTGTGACTTTGATGAATTCATCATCTCGGAAGTTCGCTCGAACACTTGTGGACTCGTTAAACGTTGGTGATAATGATGTGGATGTGGAGAAGAGTCATGAGAACCACGACTCACATTTCACTGGCTTCAAAACAGGTAAAGGGGATTCTGTGACTTTGATGAATTCATCATCTCGGAAGTTCGCTCGAACACTTGTGGACTCGTTAAACGTTGGTGATAATGATGTGGATGTGGAGAAGAGTCATGAGAACCACGACTCACATTTCACTGGCTTCAAAACAGGTAAAGGGGATTCTGTGACTTTGATGAATTCATCATCTCGGAAGTTCGCTCGAACACTTGTGGACTCGTTAAACGTTGGTGATAATGATGTGGATGTGGAGAAGAGTCATGAGAACCACGACTCACATTTCACTGGCTTCAAAACAGGTAAAGGGGATTCTGTGACTTTGATGAATTCATCATCTCGGAAGTTCGCTCGAACACTTGTGGACTCGTTAAACGTTGGTGATAATGATGTGGATGTGGAGAAGAGTCATGAGAACCACGACTCACATTTCACTGGCTTCAAAACAGGTAAAGGGGATTCTGTGACTTTGATGAATTCATCATCTCGGAAGTTCGCTCGAACACTTGTGGACTCGTTAAACGTTGGTGATAATGATGTGGATGTGGAGAAGAGTCATGAGAACCACGACTCACATTTCACTGGCTTCAAAACAGGTAAAGGGGATTCTGTGACTTTGATGAATTCATCATCTCGGAAGTTCGCTCGAACACTTGTGGACTCGTTAAACGTTGGTGATAATGATGTGGATGTGGAGAAGAGTCATGAGAACCACGACTCACATTTCACTGGCTTCAAAACAGGTAAAGGGGATTCTGTGACTTTGATGAATTCATCATCTCGGAATTTCGCTCGAACACTTACAGACCCTTCCATTTCTGATGTTTTCGTAAAGCCAGAAATGTGCTACGAGTCTTATGATTACAATGCCCATAATGTCAAAGATAATTTATTACTGTCTGTGGAACAAATTGCTGAGGTGCATGATGATTTTGAGTACTCATCTCATAATTATATTGACTCATTTAGTGGATGTTTTGATACTCAATTTGACTTATCATTTGAACGTTCTGAAGGTGGTATTCACATGATGGAAATTAATATATCGTAAGTCAGTGTCACCTATTTGTTTGAACTCTTTGTTTAATTTTTGTAATATAGTTGTTATGTCATGGAAATCAATGCTAAATTTTAATGGATTATATACAACTTTGACTTTCATATCTTATTTTGTCTAAACTTTATTCGAGTTTGTCATTTCGTTTGGTCGTTTTAATTTCTCTACATTAAATATTTTACATGTTTTCTCTTAGTTAACTTAAATTCATTGTGTGTAAACGTTTAGTTTCTTTTAAGATAATATTTCGAGGTGTATCTCATCATGGGAAGAATAAATAATACTTCCGTGTCTTTTGACTGGTTTTTCTTAGTGTTATCTTAGTGATCATATCAATAATAATTATCAAATTCTCCAGAAGTTCACGTCAAAGGATAATTTAAAACAGTTCACTTCAAGAATTGGTTTAATATTAATTCTGAAGATATTTTTTAGAGAATAACTTTTTTATCTTTAATTGATCTCAAACTTTTTTTCAAATTTTAGCGCAACGAACGTTGTTTCTGTATGAATGATAACAGCCCAATGTCTTCCAGATTATCTCTGCTGCGTAGACTATAAAGTTCACGCATATTATAGGCGTAGTTTTCATCACGAACGGAAACCAACTGGAGAAAATATGACGTGTTTGGTTAACCAAGTTTATATAGGGTTAATAACTCACTGATAAAATTAGATGATGAATGCATTTTCATCGTGAACTGACTGAAGTTGGTATCGTTTGTTACTAAGTTCCGACTCAGTAGTCTAAATGTATTGTGATTATTTAAGTTAGAGCTGTTTAAATAAAAACTGTTTCACCAACATTTAACATGTTAATAATACCCTCGAATAGTCGTATATATATAATGGTTTGGGTTTTCATGTTTTGCTATTAAAGACCTGCAATCGACCAGTCTCCAAAGATATGTGTTTTGACCAAGTTGCTTGATATTTCCATCAAGTGTTGGTTTTAAATCATTTAATGCAAGAATTTGATTATTTAACTTGAAAGATACATTTGATTGCGATTATATTTCTATCAGAAACTTTTGTGTTATTTGCTCAGTGTTTTAAATTTGTTTTGGTCATTTTTACTTCATCTCTAACACGTATAAATTACCTTTTTTATTTAATTCATCTAGTATGTTAATGACGAATTCGCACTTAAATACTACTATATAATTAGATGTCTCCGAACAAAATTTTCATTTTTTTTGTGTGTATGGGTTCCTCATTTCAATATTTTTGATAGTCATATTCATATTTTTACTAAGTGAATATTTATTTCATTCCAATTAGATTAGATGTGGAACGTGAAAAAGCACGGGTTGACCAACAAAATCTAATTGCACATAATCAATCAATTCCATCACCCAGTCAACATGTGCTCTCTACATCTGATACTTCATTGAATACTACATTATATGGACTATTGTGGAATATACGTAGAAGATATTATGGAACTGAGATATTAAATTCGACAAATGACCAATCACTTTTAAAATGGAAAGTATTACTTGCTGACTATGCCAATCATCAAAAGTTATCTGTTTCTTCTGCACCACTTTACTTACCGAAATATTTAAAGTTTTCAAATGATACTCATAATAAATGGTCTTTACAAACTGCAGATAAACTTTACTGGTTACTGGATATGAAACATATTATAGATACAAAATGTGAAAGCAGTCTTCCTATTTCTTACAAATTCCATGATTTTATTTTGATTCCTGATAAGTTTGGATGTGTTGGCAAACAAGAAATTATCAAGTAAGTGTCATATTCGCACTCAAACGTATTTTCAATATCCACTGAAAAAGTCCTAAAATACAAAATATGTGTAACTAACTCATGTGTCAATGTTTGATAGAAGTAGGTTTAGTTTATTGATAAATTGTGGTTATAACTCTATTTCATTAAGTTGAAACCACATAAGTAAAGATTACATTTTTTTAATTTCACTCCGAACCACCTGTTTTTTAATGATGATTTTATTTGAAGGATGATAACTTAAAGCTTATCGGTTGTACATATATCTTTTATATTAGTTCATAGCTAAATAGATCTAGGATCGTTTCTGGGTTACTGTTCGCAGATCTGCAATCAATTTTCGGTTTTATTTCACTGATCAGGATTATCATGTGAATTTAGCATTAATACTAAAGGTTGTTTAAACTACATAGCCACACCAGTTATTTCTTGTGTTATAAGAAATAAATCACTATCATTCAAAATGATGGTATTTATCAACAAACTGGGTTTTTTAGTTTAGGGGGTTGGTGAGATCATTGAATCTGCAATTTAAAATTGCGGATTGACTGTTGTTAGACAAGCATCTGAAACCAGGAAATATTAAACATCTGTTTTGCCCCCGCACAGAGTTCTAATGAGAAAAAGTGACCAGTGGAGCTCACTCCTATGGGGTATGAGACAAATATCATGAATGATAATCTATGATGGTTTTGCAGTATCGTAAATCGGCTGAATTTAGAAGTGCTAACAACTGGGTGTCAGCTCAACAGTCTAATGGTTAGACAGTCATCTCGATATCTGAATGTTATGGGTCCAATCCCTGGCATAGTCGTGAATGCATATCACCAAGTAATCTGATACTAAGTTAAAACAGCTTATCTAGTGCTTCCTGATCCAAGGTGTTTGTATAATTAAAGTTAGTTCGTCATGTGTGACTAAAATTTGGTTTTTAAAATTTCATTTGCATGTTCAATAGGCTATAAAGGCTATAGTCGAATCATGTGATTCTACCCCGCTTTTTTGTATTCAGATGCCCTTTATTTTGTCACATAATTCATATGTCAAGTTGCCTTTAGACACTTCAGTTTTTTATCCGATATGTCTTTGGTTTGAACCGTCAATCAATTACTTAATAATGATCAATGTGAGATCTGGCGTAAATGTACTATGGTCAGATTTGCAACTTCACATCAGTTCAGATAGATGCAATTAATAAGACGAATATCAATATGGTCCCAGCTATGTCAAAAAAGACTATGTATTTAGATAGTACTATTAATGGTTTAGTAATGTGTTATGCACACCTTAACACATAAAACTGTATTTGATTACTGGGTTAAATTGTTTCACATATTTTTTATTGGAAAAGTATAATCGTATGTTGATTTATATTCATGTTTTAATTTTAAGAGATCGGAAATTCATTTTGTTGCATTCTTTGGTAAACAATTTCAGGGCTAGTGTAATATCTTGGTGGAGCGTTTATGTAACATGTTCTTTTTAACATAAAAGTATTTTTAAATGAGAATTACTCGATCTTTTATTGAGTTTATATTCTGTCCAGTAAATTACATTTTTCTGTACGATTTCGTGTTAATGGACTTAGAAAAAATAATGAAACGTTGCATTAATTAGCTGTTGAAGTATCCTGACTTACACTACGAACAATCCTCCCCAAACCTTAAATTATAAATATATACAGAAAAAATACTACTGAGGTTATTTTCATTTATTCATTATATTGAATTTATGTATGTTCAAGATTCACTTATTTACTTAATTATAACAAATAGAATTCCTGGTACCCCACACAAAGTGGAATATTGACGTTGTGAGAAGAAAACAGATGAAAGGAAATTCATACAATCAACCAATAGATAAACAGAGATAGTACTCTTTAAAAGGTACTGTTCAATTACGAAAAAATCCAAGCGATATTTCGTCTAGTTAAGAATGTTCATTTTACTTCTATAAAGAATGGATGGGAAACCTATAGCAAGATCACCGGCTTCTATTTTGAGACAAATTGGATAACATTTTATGCCACTCAGTTACATGACCTTAAGTACCCCAACGAGAGTTACCCATCGTATTCAGATATACTTCATATTACGGCTAGTGTGAGATTGCATCTCTTGTCCCAGTTTCACTTTCTTTTGTATCAAATCTTTGTGTCAAAGTGTCGTTGAGAAATTCTCTTACTTAAGTTTGTGTATCCGACTTCTTTACACAAATGATGGTGACACACAATAAAATTATAATTTAAATCCTTCCCTCTAAATAGTGTATGTAGACATTAGATTATCAGCTATATGTTAATTGTTGTAAGTGGTTTTATGTTATACACTTTGGATTTGCTCGACTGAGTAGTGACATTGCTCACTTTAATACAGTTGATGTAATCCACACCCTGGTGTATATGTCTGAATATAATCCATAAAGGTGTTTCGTAAATTGAAATACTTCATTTTTCCTTTATTTTCAGTTCATTTTTGAGCTGTCGTAGAATTTGTTCAAATGTAATTACCCGTGGTTGGATTGAAAATCATTACTTACAAATAATGTGGAAAGTTGGTACAATTGCTTTACTTTACAGTGATTTATGCGCAACGTTACTTAGTGACTATTGTGCACCGATTCATGTCCTAAATGAATTACGCTATCGTTATGATCGTGAAATAGAAACTTGTCAAAGGTAAATTCGCTTCAGAAACACTTTGCACCTGATTTCTGTCTTCGTAAAGTGATGTGTTATTAATAAAATAATTCAAGGAAACTCTGAATATTTAAGGAAATTTAATTTAACTTCACGTTCCACTGAAACTGTTTTTTTCAGTTTTGGGCTGTGGATATTGTTGAGTTTCCCTGAAATCATGGACCAATCAATGTTAGACAACCATTGAAAACCTGGAAACACTGGACGGCCGTTTCGTCTTGGTATAGGGCTCTTCAGCAGCGCGTATCCATGAGAAGCCGTGACCAGTGGAGTTCAACCGTTTCGGGTGTGAGGCATTTACCAACTAAAGACAATAGAAGATGGTTTATCAGCATCATGGATTGATTGAAGTTACACATTGACACTGTTGGATGCCGGCTCAATGATTATGTGTTGTCAGTCTACTTGAATGTTATAATCTTACTATAACACGAATATCTCTTAGCTTATAGTGTGCTTCAGGTAGTTGGTCAGTAATCTCTAAATGATTTTCGTACTGTTGTCTAACTACACTTGTATTCTCTACGTATTTCCTATAGACCAGCTCTTCGAAAAGTCATCGAACAAGACGATACACCGGCGCGGCGTCTAATTCTGTGCGTCAGTCGCATAGATATTTTTGACCAATGTGTAAAGGTTAGATTTTTTTCTAGTTAATTTCGATGACTCATTATATATGAAAATTATATTTGAAATAATCTCTGCGATTGATATTTAAATAGTTCCAACGTTTCGTCCAGCTAACTCGTCCGGACTTCTTCAGCGTAGCAAACAAAATCATCAAAAAAATATATAGCTTTTTAACAATCAAAACTATACTGTGTTAAACCAGTCAATGTTGGAATTATTTAAATTTCAATCGCTGAGATTACTTCAGATATGATTTTCACATATAATGACTTTTCTATACTCGGCGCCCGATTTCTGTCAAATTATTCTTTCTAATCGTGACGAATATTCGTATAAATCCCCACGACTGTTATAATCTAATCATTCTGATTGCTGCTTAAATGTCCGGATTAGTGGTTGTTACTTTGATCTAGTTTTCTCAAGTCTTCCCTATCGAATAAACCACTTAAAGTATACTATGTCGCTGATCCGAAAATTCTTCCTAATTTAGCCCGCTTGATCAGGTTATTTGATTATGGAGTCCGTTTAGAATTAGTTCACTTTAGGACTGTCTAACCAATGACTTCTTTGACCAATAAATCAGTGGCTATAAAATCCTAATTCTGATTGGTTCAACGAGCTTCTTCTACTCTAATGGCCAGTCTGAAGACGAACAGAGCAAACAGATTAACTTGTTATTATATTGTCCTATATTATCATCCTTACTCAAAAGTCATGGGATTGTATACAGTAATTGCATGGCAAGGGATGTGGTCAAAAAACAGTATTGCTCACCTATACACGTTGTTCTAAAGCTCAATGTTTACCATCAGGTTTTGAATAGTTCACATTGCACTTAGGAATCTAAAATTCATTTGCCCTGTCGAGTGAAAGAAATGTGATACATAGAACCAAGTTGGAAAATGAGTATTAGAGCTTTCAAACGTTTGTTTGCTATACTAACTGTGTCAGAAAGCCTCTCGAAACATTATTCTGGGTCATGTTCTGTTATTAAGATGCGGATAACAGAACATGACCCAGATGCGGACCCGACCGTTGTTGCTACCTTGACGTGGTGGTCGGGCTTGCCTATCGTGATGAAGCAACCGAGCTATACTGGCTGGAACAACCGTTCCTCAAGGTCCTACCATGTCAGACAGGTCGGTTGAAGAGCGGTAAGACTAAAAGCAACAAACCCAAGGTCCGAAGGCGAAGTCGTACTGCTGACTGTACAGAGGTGTGACAGCAGTAAGGTGTTTCCTTCAGACAACCAGCATGACAGCGATGCTGCCTTCCCACAAGGAGGGGTGGGGTTAGAAAAGGTCGACCCTAAAAATGCACACCTCGCCTTATCCCACGGATATCCGTCTCCGGCGGTAAGGTCTCAATAAGTACGGAGCTAACACAAAAATTACCCATAACAAGGTCGTGTGTGACCGACCTCAAGCAGTTGTCCCTTGGGCACTGCGGTCACGCTCTCAGGTCACTAAGACCACTTCTAATCCAATTTCCTTTTCAGGTACCTCCAGAACAACCCTTCCACGGTGTGGGCAACCGGGAAGTGATAACCGCCCTCATACTTCTAACAGCACTCAAGACCACTGTATTCATAATCAACCTCCTCTTCAATTCCTATTATTCCTCCTACATCGACTTTCAACTCTATATTTCCTCTCTCGGCTTCCACCTCAAGTGTCACCGTAGCCAACGATTCTAGTGCGCAAAACACTGTCCCAGGTCTACTGAAACCTCGCTCCAAACTACACATTGGAGCCTTCAACGTACGCACCCTATGTCAAATCGGTCAGCAGGCTTCCTTGGCTAAAACCCTAGAGTCTCTTTCCATTGATGTATGCTGTGTCTCCGAAACACGCATACAGGATTCCAGTGTGGTCATTCACTTGACCTCACCTCGGCAAGACGGAGAGCCAACGAGATACACCCTTCGTGTATCTGGTGACCCGATGGCAAGTTCTCGTGGACTGGCAGGTGTAGGCATAGCACTAAGCATGAGGGCCGAACAAGCACTGCTAGAGTGGATCCCCGTCAACAGTCGTCTATGTGCTGTTCGGCTGAACGGCTACGTAAGAACTCGGAAGGATAGGGACACACGTCGTTGCCTTTTTGTCGTTTCTGCCTACGCTCCCACTGACTGCAGCTCAGATGAAGTGAAAGATGAATTTTACAGAAAGCTTCCGAACTTCTTCAGAAAGCTAAACGCTCAGACATAGTACTCGTAGCAGGTGATTTTAATGCTCAGATAGGTAGTTTAAACCAAACAGAAAGGCATTTAGGTGGATATTTTAGTATTCCGACACAGCGAACAGATAATGGTGATCGTCTGCTGCAGCTATGCTCAGACAATCGTTTATTTTTAGCAAACACAAATTTTAAGCATAAGGAGAGACATCGTCTAACATGGCGACCCCCTACACCAAACCAACGATGGACTCAAATAGACCATATTGCCATCAGTCATCGTTGGAGAGGGTCGGTAGAAGATTGTCGCTCATTCTGGAGTACCTGCTTGGACTCCGACCATGCCCTAATACGGGCACGCATCTGCTTGCGCCTCACTGGACGCAAAAAAGCCACATTAAAAAGACCCATTAGAACTGAGTTGAGTAACGAGAAAACCAAAAGTAGGTTCCAGGAACAACTGAGGTCACACTTAGGTAGTTGTGAAGACGAGGCTGACCCAGATGTTGCTTGGAAGGGCATACAATCAGCTGTGGAAACAGCAGTGACATCTATTAGTGACTTAAACCACAGAGTTACAAGGAACCAGTGGATTTCTTCAAGGTCTGTCACACTGATGGATTCTCGCAAACTCGTCCCATCAGGTTCTGAACATGATGAAGAGCGTAAACAAATCAGATCTAGGTTAAGAAAAAGTCTAAGGAACGACCGTGAGCAGTGGTGGGTAACGAAAGCAAAAGAGATGGAAAAGGCGGCGACTATAGGGAACACAAGACAGCTTTACAGACTAATAAAAGAAACTGGAATTAATAAGTCAAGTGTAAGTGAGATTATTTCGGAAAAAGATGATACTCTCATCTGCTCCCAGTCCAGACGTTTAGAACGATGGGCGGAACATTTTAGAGAACAGTTCAGCTGGCCTTCAGCTACTCTACAACTACCCTCCATTCCCAGACAAAGTGAATGGAACATTGAAGTAGGTCCCCCAACTCTTGCTGAAGTTGAGAAGGCTATAGTTAATCTGAAACGAGGAAGGGCAGCTGGTCCAGATGGATTGGCTCCAGAGGTCTTTAAGGATGGTGGTCCAATTTTAGCGATTAGGTTGACTAATATTTTAGCTAAGATCTGGGAATTAGACGTTATCCCATCTGACTGGTCGCAATCACTTATCGTCCCAATATATAAGAAAGGGTCAAAATCATCCTGTGACAACCACAGAGGGATTAGTTTAACAAACATAGTATCTAAAATACTGGCCTCGATAATTATCGCACACCTAACTAAGACTCGTGAACTACAAACACGAGAGAACCAAGCTGGCTTTAGACCTGGTCGTGGCTGCATCGACCACATATTCACCATTCGTCAGGTTCTAGAACACAGGCATACCTATCGGCGTCCGACGATGGTGGTCTTTCTTGACTTAAAAGCAGCATTTGACTCTGTAGACCGCGAGACTCTGTGGCAGTGTCTGTCATTGAAAGGCGTACCTCAGAAGTACATAAACCTTGTGAAGGCTCTTTACTCGAACACTACTAGTCGAGTCAGGGCTTATGGCGAACTGTCATCTACTTTTGCAACCTCAAGTGGTGTCCGTCAAGGCTGTCCACTTTCTCCATTTTTGTTTAACTTCATCATAGACCTATTGATGGAAATAACACTCTCGTCGACTGAATTCTCGGGTATTGATCTCCTTCCAGGAGGTCCACTTATCGACTTAGAATACGCAGATGACATAGTCCTGTTTGGTGAAGACGCTGACAAAATGCAGAGTCTTCTGGTAGCACTAAGCAACAATGCCAGAATGTTTGGGATGCGCTTCTCTCCCTCTAAATGCAAGTTGTTGCTTCAGGACTGGTCTGCGTCAACACCTGAACTAAGGATAGGGAGTGAAGTAGTCGAACGCGTTGACAACTTCACTTATCTTGGAAGTCTGATCAGCCCTAATGGGTTGGTGTCTGACGAAATCTCAGCACGGATTCGAAAAGCTCGTTTGGCTTTTGCCAACTTACGTCACCTTTGGCGGAGGCGAGATATCCGTCTATCAATAAAAGGACGAGTATACTGCGCGGCTGTTCGTTCTGTTTTACTTTACGGCAGCGAAACATGGCCCTTAAGAGTAGAAGACACCCGTAAGCTACTAGTATTTGACCACAGATGCCTTAGAAATATTGCTGGCATCTGCTGGGATCACCGGGTAAGTAATAGTGAGGTTAGACGCAGGGTATTAGGAAATGATGGTAAATCAGTTGATGAGGTTATGAATCTTCATCGACTGAGATGGTTGGGCCACGTATTACGTATGCCTGAACACCGATTACCGCGACGTGCAATGCTAACCGGTGTAGGGGATGGTTGGAAGAAAGTTAGGGGCGGCCAAACCAAAACGTGGCATCAGTGCCTGAAGTCACTAACTTCTAGTCTGAGCCATGTTGGTAGATGCAGACTACTTGGTTGGGGTCCGCGTGACTTTCGTAACCAATGGTTGGAGACTTTGGGTGACATGGCTCAGAATCGATCACAATGGCGTCGGTGTATACACTCTCTGTCTTCTCTTAAACTAAGAGATTAAGATCACTTCACATCTTTCTTTCTACGAACTAATTCTTTCTTCCTATACTATATCCTTATTGCAATCTTTCTCCTATATATTACCACCTTTGACCTAACCACTGCTATGAATCCGGTGTTCATCTTGTTGTGCTAATGAGGTATGGCAACCTGGGCCGATGCATACATGTGCCTGGTCCTACGTTGTAGCTGACTGACTGACTAAGATGCGGATACTAGGTCCAGATGTGATTGGGTGTTCATTTTACTTCATCACCCAATAAAATGAATTGTCGTGGTTCACTGGTATTTAATAGCTATCTTTAATGCTTCGTAGATACAAAAATTTCAGTATAACTGTATATTATAACCCCTAAGCCATTTTTGGTTCTTCGCATGAAATTCAAAATGAAGAACACTTATCTTAGATCGCATAAAAAGCCTAATGTAAATACCTTTGCATAACACTCAAAACGTTTAAAGTCGATAAAAAATTGTGTATTCGCTGTTTTAGAGTGAGAATGGCAGTACTAAACACTTTAACTGTTTTATAAAAGAGATCGATTGTAATTAAAAATGGAAACCAGGACGCGCGTTTCGTCTTACCTGGAACTCTATAGCTGGATTTACCTGCATCGCAGAGTTAATTTGTCACTCCACTGCTCGAACCCAGTACCTTTCACTTGGAATGCCGACACATAATCCACAATAGGACTACTCAAAAACCCTTATAAATTAAATCAAATGCACACATGTTGCACAACTGAGTGGATAACTTATTGGTATTTGGAAGGTGTTGGGTTCAAATCGCAGAGCGACATCAACCCTAGGATGCAAGTAAATCCAGTTATAGAGTTCTAGATAAGACGAAACGCGCGACCTGGGTTCCACTGTTAATTACAGTCCACCTCTTTTATAAAACGTGTGACTACATCGAAGCAATCCGCACAGTATACACATATACTAGCTAAGACCGGTAAAAATTCAGTCAAGAATATCAACAAAGGAATAACTCGAGAAACCCTTCGATAGTATATGTCTATTTCTTCCCATGTAGATTGTACATAGAGTGTAAATTAGTAGCTTTGTTTCAAATTACTTTATTCTTAATAAACTTTCAAACAAACCGCCGTATTAGTGGTTCACTGAATGATAGGTGAATTGATGAAATAGGAAACAGATAATGATTTCCATTCACAACATCCCCATATCGTTATATTGTTACTCCATCTCGCTTAGTGTTCAGCAAATTTGTTAATGAAGGTTTTCGCAGGTGTTGAATTTTCTATAGGACTGTTTATGATTCTGAGAAATCTTAAGTGCTAATATATTCCCACTCGGATAAATGAAATTATGTAGCGACATTTTTTTCAATACTAACACTGGAAAGCTGATAATAAGCCTTGAAAAACTTATAAGCTTCCTGAACCCACTATGCTTTTTCGAGTTTCAATACTTCTGTAACGACATACTTCTTATTCATGCATACTCTTTTCTTATTTGCTGAAGATTATCTTCAAAGCGTCACTGTAATATAATTACACTGAAACTGCAATAAGTCTTGGGACGATAAAGACCTATTTACTGTGTCTCCGCATACAGTTATTCATAATCAATTCGAGTCAAGCGTTTTGTTAGAACTCAAACGAACTGTGAAACACGACAGTCTCTAGTTTCGTTTTAATTTACGTGCCTATTGACTGTAGTTTAGTTAAATTTGAGTCCTACGGAAAACTAATCTCGAAGCCTTGATAATGATCACAAACGTTTTTCCATTCAATTTGCTGTTTCACGTCATCATAGCTGGATAAAATCCATTTAAGAAGGGTGGAAGGAGTCAGAACTTACATATTAATAGTAGTAGGAAGCCAAACTTTGGAAGAAAAAGTCGAGGAAATCTCAGTTGTGAAACCTTACTAAGTCGATCGAGTGATTACATTTCAGTTATATATGCTCTTGGTTTCAAATATAACATCCATCTTGGATCAAAATTGCTAATTTCGTATGATAAGCAAATGTGCTATACAATCGCATATTCAACGTAAATTTTCGCAACCTCATAGTGCACTCCGTATCTGTTTTGTTGAAAGTTGTATCTTATCCACACATTATGGCTCCCTACTTATCGTTAATATTATTATTTTTATTTCAAAGAAGGCTTGTCTGACAGATGGCTGGTATCAAATTGCTTGGTATCCAGATCCCATGCTTACAACACTGATTACTTCTGGCAAAATTCGTGTTGGTTCGAAGTTAGTAACTGCTGGTGCTGAACTAGTCGTAACCAATCCATCATCTACTAACAATCAGCCTAAAAGGAAGTGCTCTTCAGGTGATGAGCAAATTGATGAATTTAAGCATTTATATGGAGATGACGGTGTAGCTGTTGGAATGGCTTTGAAGTTGCATGGAAATTCTACACGACCTGTTTCTTGGTGTTCACGCCTAGGATTCACTACAAAACAACCAAGTTCGGGTGCTGGCTTGTATCCAGTTCCTCTGTGTACTCTCAGTTCAGATGGAGGTATCTGTAGCTCAATTCGAGTAGTAATCCAAGTATGTTTCTGTTTTTTTTTTCTGCTTAAATACTTTTCACTTCACTAAATTAATTTGTTGATTAGTTGAAATGGTTAATTATTCACCCCAATAAATTATGCTTTTAGGTATTTTATACTTCTGAGTCTCATAGTGCATGTTCTTCTGTTGATCTAGATTACATATTTGTTAGTGAATCAATAATTTTCTTTGCCAAATGCAATAACATAACATAGAATATGTCTCGACTTTATTGCTCAACGGTAAAACATACTTTTTAAACATAGATCGTCTGGTCTAATTTTCAGTTATTCTCAGGAAAGTTATTCATCTGCGAATTGTATATTAGCTTACATTGTAGGTCTTTTCCTTACAACTAAATCCCATCTCTTTATGTTCAGTAAGGTGACCATATTCCCTGAACTACATTATAGTGATACATACGTATGTTCGTTATGGAGCTATAAGAATTTGGTATGGACACTAGGGGGTGTTTATTTGTGAGTATGTCCAACTTTTAAAATAGTGATTTCTTTATGTTATTTTAAAAGTATTGTCAGACAACAAACAACTGTGATGGTTCATTAACTCTTCATACATGATTTAGTTTAAATAACCAAATTATTTTGTGGATCTAATAAAACAAGTCAAAACAATCGGCAACGTTGATGATTATTTCTAATTTTAATAAAGTTTTCAAGTAAATGTTTACTCGTTGATACATATTTGAATTGACACTGGTCATTAAATATTCTTTTTTATTCAACCAACAGTAGAAAGATTCAACTGGTTGTTTTGCATGTAACCTATCGCTAAAACTGAATCGGCCTGTAGTGATTGAACTACAAGCATTGTGAAAACTAGTAATATGAATCATATTTTAACTAACAATGCTGACAAGTCATACTCTTATTTTGGTACTCAAATAGAATTAGATATCGAAATAAGAAATTGTCAAAATTGACAATGAGAGAGGTGTTAATAACCACCTCTTGTTATACAGAGACAGCTTAGAATGAAATAAGGTTGATGCAAATTGAAATGCGTTTATTTTTTTTACATGTTTGTTAATATTTGTTGCATAAATAAACTATTTGCACTGGTTGGACGAATAATTGACAGGATCAAAATAGAAGAATGTAAAGTGACGTATTTACTTCAAATTATTTAAATTTACGAACAAAATGTAAACGAATATCAACGTTTATCTTTTTTTGAATTCTAACTATTCTACATTTACTTTGATGATCCAAACTAATGACCAGCAATTTCATCGATTTCAGATTAGTTTGACAGTGAAGATTAGAGATTCTGAAATTCTGGTTAATAATATGGTGAATTATTGTCTGATGTAATAAATTTATCATACCTTGGTACATTCATCAACCACTTATCTATGAGTCACACCAGTCATTGTAATCAAAGATTACTGGTTTTTATGCCTTTAGTAAGTGATATTTTGATGAAATTAGAGGCATGAATTGTTAAATATCGTATTTGGAGTAACCTGAAATCAATCTGATCAATGCAATTCCAATGACCCATTATCTTTATGATTCTAATACTTTTTGATTTTTAGTATACATTTGTCTGCTTTCATAACTTCATTCAAGTGTGCGACACCCGTTTTGATCAGCATTCCGATATCCAAGAATTGTTTAACAATTCGGGCTTAATTCAATGGAGAGTAAGTGGCCTGCCTACAAGACTGATTTCCTTCAACTGTCTGTTTCTTTTTCTGTTAAGAATTAGTGCATAATCGTGTTATTCCATTAGATGAAAAGCTTATCCCTCTGTCTAATGAGATCTTTTCGGTATCACTTCATTGGGGAACGGAATTCGAGTCAATAATCCAGTCTCGTAAGTAGTTGGTACTTAGCCATGTCCTACCATTCCGTTCATTTGTAAATCAGCATTCTATTCATTCACTTAACAATCTGATACTCGTCCAACAAACACATCCCCTTTAATACATTCTAGAACTGAGTTTTTACTATTTTTTTCTAATATTTAATATTAATATTAATAGCACCTCATATACTGGTGATCATTTCAATACTGTGTCTTTTCATTTCCTGCAAAAGCGTCGATATTCCCTACAATATATGGAGACATTAGAGGTCCCGGAACAAAATGCAGATACATCAACTCTTTTGACACGTACAAATTCTGGTCCAGATGAACTGTCTTCAAAGTTTCGTTTAAATCGCCGTCGAATTTTTCGCAGTGAACGGGCTGAGGAGGCGGAAGTTAGACTATATGAAGCGCGCAGACTCAAAGTTATTGACGGAGCCTTGGATAAACTTGTAGCTAATGATCCAAGTATGCTTTCGATTGTAAATTCCTATTTAAAATTTATTTTCCTAAAATTGGAGAATCGTAATTATTCTGATGTTAATAATGTGAGCTGTTTTCCGATTGGTCTCCTGTTCAGATACATTAGAAATCCTAAATGGTCACTGAAACCAACTATTAATTCTTATCTAATTGATGACATTTTTGAAGACCTAACATAGTAAATATTGAAGTGTTGAACTAAAAATCGTCAACTTTTCTATATTTATCACACATATGTAACAAAAGACAAATATGATCTTAAAATAGCTTTAAATACATCCAGTTTTAAATATAAATCAATTAAACACCACCAACTAATCAGGTGGTTAAAGATCTCAGTTATTAGATTTCAATATACAAGAAGAGTTGTAAAGCCTTAAGAATACATTGTTCTATCACAAAAGTATGTAAAGCAGTCAACACGGTTGTGGTATCACTAAACAAAAGCAAGCGACGGCGTAATGGTTCTTGATTTTCTAGTAATTTTAGTATTCTTTATCATCACGAACTGATTTTTGTTAAACTTCCATTAAAAACCCGAAAGTATCGGACGGCCATTTCGTCCTTGTGTGAGACTCCTCAATGGTGTGCATCCACGAATCAAAATTAGGACCTTCGATCTCGCACATGAACTGAGCCGGCTTTCGACGGTGTTAATGTAATTGTTTAACTGATATCGATATGTGTATTGAAATTTTATTCTAAAACGTTGGCATGTGTGTTCGATTGTATAATATATGCATTTGCACGTAGCAAATAACAGTTGACTACTTTTTTGACGTCATATTATGTATGAATCGAATGCTTCTATACTAGTTACTTTGTGTTCAGTATTTTTGCACAATGAGGCCTCGGTTTAGTGTTTTAGCATCTGATACGACTCACCAAGTACAGATTCATGTGTTCGGCTTTGAGGCACAATTTATATGTAAAGGCTACCTGAAGTGAAGTAGGTTAGGCGGGACTTGAATCTGCTATCTAATGGTTGGCAGTCGAATGCGTTGGTCACTAAGCCACCAGCTCACACTATAGCATCGAAATTTCAACTCTTGATTTACGGGTCCAAGTTTCGTCGTAACTACTTCAATTTAGCTAACCAGACATTGTCAGTGATTCCCATCCACAAAAGTATACTCCATATTAGATTACATAATGCAGGTAGTCGGTTGCCGTATTGTTGTTCTAATTAAAGGTAATTATTTCAAGTATTTACTAAAGAGATTATTCCTCAACGTTTAGTGTATAGTTTAACTAGTTTAGTCTACTTGTTCAAAACATAAAAGTGATATCTGACAACTTCAATGAATGTATTTGATTGATTGAATATTCAATAAACATTAACGAATTTATCATATTCAATCATTCTGAAGATGGTGCTTAGTCGTCTACTAATGAATTGATTACTTTATTTGTACCTGCTTTTCATGTATTGACTAGGCAAACGTCGAATTCAACCTACGCATGAACAATTATTAGCTTTGGGTAATGATGGTGAAGCATTGTTACAAGCAATTCTAAATGCTCCAGATTCTATGGAAGCTGAATCTAATTTAACTCAAGTACAACGTGATGCTATACAACATTATAAAGAGTCTATCATTCATGATGCAATTATTGAAAATGTCCCACCTAGACAGGTTAGATGACAAATTTTCATCATACACTTTTTATATGTTCTCTTATTTCTGCTTTTTTTAAGGGATGTTTTTATGTCGTTTTTATTTGATAAATTTATCATTGATATCTTAATTCATTGGATAGTATGCATTTTGTTTACTGATCGTTTATTTTTCCATTTCAATAGATTACTCCTCTTTTGCGTTTAAGAGTTTCAGGAATTCATCCTAGAGATATTGCTAGTGGTTATAGTGAGTTAGAAATTATTACTCTTAGTATTGATTTTTTGTATCTTTTGTTATGTGATAATCATTGATTCAGATCACTATATTGTCACGTATAACATGCTTTGGTACTCAATTAAAAAATCTAACTAAATTATATAATAAAATTTTCCACTATTCTCGATTACTTTTTAACTCTAGCTCGTTCCCTTCTCTAAAAGGTTAAGAGAAGAAAGGAAATTCAAAAAATTTGTTCCAGTTTCCATCAACAATAATGATACAATGGGAAACATGTGTGTATGCATAGTATGTTTTAAAATTTTTCTTAAGAATCTAGAATTAAGGATATTTATAAAACATCAAATTATCATTTCAATCCATTCATCATTTTCTTGATTCTTTGAAACAACTGTTTGATGTATTCCATCACTTAACCGTAACTCACAGGCTGTTTTCAAATCTCACTATGACTATCATTTCCTCCAAGATTTCAGATATACTCTGCTGATGAGTGTCAACTAGTATGAGACCCAAGTTCAGAATTTCCTGCCGACTAATTCCAACCACTTAACATAACTCAGTATACATATCATTATATATCTAATTCCATTCATAGGATAATGCACATGCGTAACTGGTTACTACCAGTAATTTCAAAGTACAATTAATTACTTTGTTATGATTTTTTTTTTGTATTTCTCTCACAGTCCTATAAAAACGTTGTCCTTAATTCTGGTCATCTCACTCCAATATTCCACACTCTACCTTGACTAGAATACAGTCACTTCTAATATAAAATACCATTCACTTTTCAAATTTGCGGCGAATATTTCAATGAATGACTTCCAGAGTCATTTTTCGGGAAAATTGTTTACAATAGCTATTTTTTACTTGATTTTTTAGTTATTGGATATTACAAATGTTGAATATTATTTCATATTAACTCTGTGATTATTTATTTCGTTGAAGTGGAGGATAATTTTCGTATAATAAATAGACTTATTTATTTCTTAATGGTCGGTCGTCTTTCAAATATACTGAATTACTACATGGGTGATTTGTGTGCTTTTTGGCTGAAATCTTCCAACAATCGTGTAGACACATTCGTATCGATTATTACAATTGTGCATTCTGAATTTATTTTAATTAGTCCAATGAATTGCGTAATAACTGCTACATTATATATATTTCCTCTTAAAGATATTGGCACGATTAACGTTGCTGTTAATGTTAATGTAATGTCATTACAATTTAAATAAATTGTAGGCGCTTTGATTACTTTATGGAGTCCAACGGATGAAATGTTATCAGTTTTGAAAGAAGGAGAGATTGTTGAATTTTATCGTTTGCAAGTAAGTGACAAAATTATCTTCCAGAAATGAAGTAAGCCATTGATTTGATATTACCTTTGTATTTTAATAATTTAAGGTTTGGATATTCTGCTGTTATGATAGATAAGAATTCTTCCCAATAGTTAAGTTTTAATTCATTGACGATATCCTGATATCGTCTATCTGATTGTAGCATAAAATGTTTACTTTCCTGTTAATAATTTATAAATAATCATGTTATTTTATTAGATAAAAAGGACATTTTTGTTCTGGAATTATTCAGGGACTTAAATTAATAGTTCAATCTTATGATGTTAATTGACATTCGATTCATTCATTTTAGCATTTCAAAATTTGTTCGTCCGATCCGGAAATATATATATATATATATATATATATATTGATACCACATGGCTGCCTAAATCCGAATTGAATAGTTGTTGAATGTTAAATGATTTAAGAATTAAGCCATCTCTCTTTATGCACTTACGAAATATTTAGCTTTTAAGTCTCCTTCTAGTGTCAGGATGTTAAGCAGATTTTATTATAATACCAGTAAGGTTAAGAAATGTTCCTGCTTTATATTTTTTCACTTATCTATATAATTTTATATAGTTAGTCTCTTTATATAGTGTTTGCCTTCTAGTTCTGTAATATTAATGACCAAAAAAAATCCCATGTATAAATATTTAACTTATTTATCCATTAATTACTTTTTTCTTGATCATACGTTTTTTAGGTGTCGGCTACACGTGCAAACGATCCATTTGTATCTCCATCAACTGTTCCAGGATTTATCAAACCTATAGGCGTTAATATACCTTCTGGTTTTGTATTAAGCCTTTCTGGTGGTCGTACAACACGCATTTTATCATTAGGTCATATTTCCAACTTGAAAGGAATTGTTTCTATTGATAATATTTCTCGTGTATATTATCCAAGAGTAAAATTAAGTGTTTCTGAAGCCTATCAAACGATTATTCAGGCGGACAAATCTACGAGTTCATTTAACAAAGGTATAATTCTTTGTTGAAATAGTAATGTTAAATAAGTGTCCTTGCCTGAATAATGAAAATACGTGTTCGTCGCTTGTTTGTTCTATAATCCAACAGATTTTAAAATAATGGATAATTTGTTACAGTATTTATAGTATCATATTTTAACGATTTCTCAGGAAAAATCATATTCCTGGCTGCCTGTGTGTATTGATATTAATGATAGCATATATATGTTGTGTTACATAATTTAGTATAAATGTAAATGTTAGTTATACACTTAAGTCGCGTATAAGATTTTTAAGAGTGTAGCTACCGTATCTCTGCTCCCATTCAATATTATAAGACGAAGATTATCAGAACTATGTTTTGATACTCTTCGTCTTCTTAAACACTATCGAAGTATATCAGAGGGACTAATTGCTTCAATATTATAAGCTTATTTCACTTATTTCTCATTTTTTCCCATACTATATTTTAGATAATTGTTTTTGGTATCATTTAAATTATATATGAGGCACTTATTAGGTTTTCTCCTCCATTGTAATTATTTTTTAGGAAATCGTGAAGTTGATTTACGTTGTTTGATTATAGCAATTTATCATACTCCAGTGCATTCGAATCCATCTTACAAAAGCTATCCATCTGATGTTAAACAACAGATGGATCATCCAAGAACAATCGATACTCCTTTCAAATATCCTTCTTCTGATGTCGATTGCGTTTATGCAGTGGATGCGAATTGTAAATCAGAAACATGTTTATCTGTGATCAAATTTTGGGATGGTTTACAGGTTGGTTTCACTGAAAGACCAACTGTTAATAATATACCTATTTGTTGTTTAATGATCAGCTGGATGTGTTTACCATTAAAAAAATCCTTTTCGATTTATCTGAACAGTAAAATGTGATATCTTAGAGTTTAGCTCTGCATTTTTTTAAGAATCTTAATTACTTAAGGTGTTAATCCTGTGAATCTTGTTAAAACTAGAGGAACACAGGCACAACTTCTGTAAACTTTTTTTCATGGAGTTTGAAAATTAGTAAACAAGACCTTTTCAATCTGTAATCATCAATTCAGTCAATACATAGCTCAGGTATTCTATTTTAGAAATCAATGGTTGGAAACGTCTTGAATATTATAAGTAATATGTATGGTGGCTAGCAGTGTGATCCAGAACGCACGTTTCTTCTTACATGGTACTCGTCAGCCAGATGAACGTACATTGCAGAATCGATGCTCACTCCAGTGCTCAAACCTAGTACTATTTACTTCAAATGCTGGAGTTCATGATTCTACATCTCATGAATTAGTTAACATATGTGTAATCTTTTCGCTCTTTTTAGGCTCTTCATTTAATGGACATAGTTCAAATTGGTCGTGTTTTATGTTTCACCGACTTGCAGTTACGTCATTGTCAAACAATTACTGCAACGTCTAAATTAAGTAATCAGCCTTCGCGTAAAATTCCCCTTCTTACTTTACATTATACATCTGCTAGCAATGTTACAGTTGAAAAACCAATCGGTCGACGTTCCAGTCGTACTGCATCAACGGAGTCAGTAAGTTGACTGTATATCTTTAGCTTCGTTGTTTAATTGTCACGTCAAATAATTAATATTTACAGTCATGCATATCACATCATATTCAGGAAAGCACGCTAGGTATATATGTTTACTGTTTAGTGAATCAATTGATTTTTGAACAATTGAGAAATGAATTTACACTGTCCATCAAAATATTCTTAATGATAAATAAGTTATGCTGTCTTTGTATGAATACTATCAGCTAAGCACGATTCATTGATAAGTATAAGCATTTTACTGATGCAAGGAGGCTTAGTACAGTCAATAACTAACTTTTCCATTAAATGATGACTCTTCAGGAAGAGATTTTTTCACGATTGTAGATTGAAGCCATTTATTTTGTCCCGAGACTACAACAATTACTAAGTTTTATAGTCAATAAATAAAGTTTGCGAAATATTTCTACATATTTAAACCGGGGGCTGTATTTTACTCCATATCCCGAAGAGAATCAAAAGTCTTTCTTTTCATAGAAATCCTATCTAATTTACGATATAGTGTAATAGTGCTTTGAATTCTTTACTGTATTCAGCTCTTCTGGGCCCTACAACCTATTGAATTGTTTTGGCTTAGTTCCAAGGTTTTAGTAATATTAATTAAGCAGTCAACTTTGCCTCACATTCCCAATACACTAACTTCATCGAACGTTTCAGGATTAATTTATTTAACGTCTTTGACTGGAGTTAGCCCTTCATAGTATTCGCGTCATATCACCAACAAATATCCCATCCTATTAAACCTAAATCAATCAGGTTAGGTGAGTTAAATGTCAATGACTATGTGTTCTATGGTCATAATCAAGAATGACTACCTCAGCATACTTCAATCATTTCAATAGTGAATGTTTTCTGTTGATATGTTTTCATTTTTATCGTTTCCAGGATCCTACTGTTGTATCCTGTTTACAACAAGTTTTAAAGGACTTTCTGTTTTCAAAATCAGGATATGAAATAGATTTACAAATATCTAATTCTCCTTTGAATCATAGCAAATCCTTAACTTCTGCATCGAATACATCACACTCTACTGGTGTTGGTTTGTCATCATTATTACGTGGTTCTATTGGTCGTGCACAATCAACTCCTGTTCACAATACAATAGAAACTCCAAAAGTTTCCACTTCACTCGAAAATTCTTCCTCTATTTTGAATATAACTTGTCCATCACCAACTGAATCAATGCTTAAACAAGGTCTTCCACTTAAAGAACAAGTATGTTATTTAAAACAATTAGTCCCTTTAATAAATTTCGATAATGCAATGAGAAAACGAAGTTTATCAGAATTATATAATTTTGATAAACTTCGTCTTCTCATTGCATTATCGAAAGTATGTTATTCACAATATATGGAACATTATTTTACGTAATAATTTTTGTTGAGGAATATAACAGATATCATAACATAATGTTCTAAGGATAAAAGATTAATAAATCCTTAAAGCAAAGGTAGGAAAACTGTGGTAGATTAGAATTATGTGCGGTATGAAATCGTTCAGAAATATTCATAAGATCGGCTGGGAGTGTAATAATATAATGCTATGTCAATTAAACATCGCTCTCTGTACTAAAGTCGTGGGAAATAATTGTTGCAATCAAACTTATTCTACTACGTCGAAAAAACTTGGACTGCAATTACAATAATGAATAAACTGAATGCTATCAGCTTATGGAAATACTTGGAAATATTACACAAAGAGGATAGACATGATATGCTACTTGTCCGAATGGTTTTACAGCGGAAGCTGACCACTGAATTTTAATAAGTAGTAAAATGTGGTATGCAGAAAGAAGCAGAAAGGAAGAGGATGCAGGTAGAAAATAAAAAGACGACATATACGATGAGATATCTCTGTAATTTATGTGTGATAAATGTTATGTTATATGCTAAGCAATTGTTGCCTGATGAGAAGTACTATGACTAGTTTTTTCAGATGCTTTATTATCAATTTTGAAAGTAGTTGACAAAAACCCTACATCTAAGGTGCTTGCTTCATGGTATTATCGAATTTATACGTTGCTAGTACCACATCTTATAATTTAGTTCCGTATTGTCCCCAAATGCTCTCGTATGGTCGAGGGTAAGGAGAGTCAGCTCTCCCTCTCGAAATGCTCTCACATGGACACGCGTTTACAACCAATGCTAGGAAGTCCTACTCACTGCCTTTTCGCACCATGGGTGTTGTTTACGAAGTTGAAAGGACGGAAAGTGGATCTTTGACGCTTTAATTGGGTAGGTGAATATGGAGGATCCACTTATGGGAGTTGAAAAACACTGATTTCAAACCAATGGTGCACATGGGCTCCAGGATCTTGAATGAACAAATGGCGTATGAACCAATTGTTGGTCACCGGATACCATGGGACTGCATCTTCTTACGATGCTCCGCTGCCTTGTGGATCAGACCTTTGTATCGAAGGCTCCGGATATGGCCCCCTAAGAAAACCACTTGTTTCGGTTTGGGCAGCCGGACAGTATTACAGCCCACACACAAATCAAGTGACTTATGTGGTGCTTATGTGTTTGGTGCCCCTTTGTCAGTCAGGTACAACGTAGGACCAGGCACATATATGCATCGTTCCAAGTTGCCACACCTCATTAGCACAACAAGATGAACACCAAATTCATAGAAGCAGTTACTTCAATGGTAGTAACATGTAAAAGTAAAATTGTATATAGGGATATGATACAGGAAGAAAGAATTAGTTCGTAGAAATAAAGGTATAAAGCAATTTTAATCTCACGGTTTAAGGAAAGACAAACAGTGTATACACCTACGCCATTGTGATCGATTCTGAGCCATGTCACCAAGAGTCTCCAACCATTGGTTACGAAAGTCACGCGGACCCCAACCAAGTAGTCTGCATCTACCAACATGGCTCAGACTAGAAGTTAGTGACTTCAGGCACTGATGCCACGTTTTGGTTTGGCCGCCCCTAACTTTCTTCCAACCATCCCCTACACCGGTTAGCATTGCACGTCGCGGTAATCGGTGTTCAGGCATACGTAATACGTGGCCCAACCATCTCAGTCGATGAAGATTCATAACCTCATCAACTGATTTACCATCATTCCCTAATACCCTGCGTCTAACCTCACTATTACTTACCCGGTGATCCCAGCAGATGCCAGCAATATTTCTAAGGCATCTGTGGTCAAATACTAGTAGCTTACGGGTGTCTTCTACTCTTAAGGGCCATGTTTCGCTGCCGTAAAGTAAAACAGAACGAACTGCCGCGCAGTATACTCGTCCTTTTATTGATAGACGGATATCTCGCCTCCGCCAAAGGTGACGTAAGTTGGCAAAAGCCAAACGAGCTTTTCGAATCCGTGCTGAGATTTCGTCAGACACCAACCCATTAGGGCTGATCAGACTTCCAAGATAAGTGAAGTTGTCAACGCGTTCGACTACTTCACTCCCTATCCTTAGTTCAGGTGTTGACGCAGACCAGTCCTGAAGCAAGAACTTGCATTTAGAGGGAGAGAAGTGCATCCTAAACACCCTGGAATTGTTGCTGATTGCTGTTAATAGACTGTGTATTTTCTCATCGTCTTCACCAAACAGGACTATGTAATCTGTGTATTCTAAGTCGATAAGTGGACCTCCTGGAATGAGGTCAATGCCTGAAAATTCAGTCGACAAGAGCGTTATTTCCACAAGCATATCTATGATGAAGTTCAACAAAAATGGAGAAAGTGGACAGCCTTGACAGACACCACTTGATGTTGCAAAAGCAGATGACAGTTCGCCATGAGCTCTGACTCGACTAGTAGTGTTCGAGTAAAGAGCCTTCACAAGGTTTATGTACTTCTGTGGTACGCCTTTCAATGACAGACACTGCCACAGAATCTCGCGGTCTACAGAGTCAAATGCTGCTTTCAAGTCAAGAAAGACCACCATTGTCGGACGCCGATAGGTATGCCTGTGTTCTAGAACCTGACGAATGGTGAATATGTGGTCGATGCAGCCACGACCAGGTCTAAAGCCAGCTTGGTTCTCTCGTGTTTGTAGTTCACGAGTCTTAGTTAGGCGTTTGATAATTATCGAGGCCAGTATTTTAGATACTATATTTGTTAAACTAATCCCTCTGTGGTTGTCACAGGATGATTTTGACCCTTTCTTATATATTGGGACGATAAGTGATTGCGACCAGTCAGATGGGATAACGTCTAACTCCCAGATCTTAGCAAAAATATTAGTCAACCTAATCGCTAAAATTGGACCACCATCCTTAAAGACCTCTGGAGCCAATCCATCTGGACCAGCTGCCCTTCCTCGTTTCAGATTAACTATAGCCTTTTGAACTTCAGCAAGAGTTGGGGGACCTACTTCAATGTTCCATTCACACTGTCTGGGAATGGAGGGTAGTTGTAGAGTAGCTGAAGGCCAGCTGAACTGTTCTCTAAAATGTTCCGCCCATCGTTCTAAACGTCTGGACTGGGAGCAGATGAGAGTATCATCTTTTTCCGAAATAATCTCACTTACACTTGACTTATTAATTCCAGTTTCTTTTATTAGTCTGTAAAGCTGTCTTGTGTTCCCTATAGTCGCCGCCTTTTCCATCTCTTTTGCTTTCGTTACCCACCACTGCTCACGGTCGTTCCTTAGACTTTTTCTTAACCTAGATCTGATTTGTTTACGCTCTTCATCATGTTCAGAACCTGATGGGACGAGTTTGCGAGAATCCATCAGTGTGACAGACCTTGAAGAAATCCACTGGTTCCTTGTAACTCTGTGGTTTAAGTCACTAATAGATGTCACTGCTGTTTCCACAGCTGATTGTATGCCCTTCCAAGCAACATCTGGGTCAGCCTCGTCTTCACAACTACCTAAGTGTGACCTCAGTTGTTCCTGGAACCTACTTTTGGTTTTCTCGTTACTCAACTCAGTTCTAACGGGTCTTTTTAATGTGGCTTTTTTGCGTCCAGTGAGGCGCAAGCAGATGCGTGCCCGTATTAGGGCATGGTCGGAGTCCAAGCAGGTACTCCAGAATGAGCGACAATCTTCTACCGACCCTCTCCAACGATGACTGATGGCAATATGGTCTATTTGAGTCCATCGTTGGTTTGGTGTAGGGGGTCGCCATGTTAGACGATGTCTCTCCTTATGCTTAAAATTTGTGTTTGCTAAAAATAAACGATTGTCTGAGCATAGCTGCAGCAGACGATCACCATTATCTGTTCGCTGTGTCGGAATACTAAAATATCCACCTAAATGCCTTTCTGTTTGGTTTAAGCTACCTATCTGAGCATTAAAATCACCTGCTACGAGTACTATGTCTGAGCGTTTAGCTTTCTGAAGAAGTTCGGAAGCTTTCTGTAAAATTCATCTTTCACTTCATCTGAGCTGCAGTCAGTGGGAGCGTAGGCAGAAACGACAAAAAGGCAACGACGTGTGTCCCTATCCTTCCGAGTTCTTACGTAGCCGTTCAGCCGAACAGCACATAGACGACTGTTGACGGGGATCCACTCTAGCAGTGCTTGTTCGGCCCTCATGCTTAGTGCTATGCCTACACCTGCCAGTCCACGAGAACTTGCCATCGGGTCACCAGACACACGAAGGGTGTATCTCGTTGGCTCTCCGTCTTGCCGAGGTGAGGTCAAGTGAATGACCACACTGGAATCCTGTATGCGTGTTTCGGAGACACAGCATACATCAATGGAAAGAGACTCTAGGGTTTTAGCCAAGGAAGCCTGCTGACCGATTTGACATAGGGTGCGTACGTTGAAGGCTCCAATGTGTAGTTTGGAGCGAGGTTTCAGTAGACCTGGGACAGTGTTTTGCGCACTAGAATCGTTGGCTACGGTGACACTTGAGGTGGAAGCCGAGAGAGGAAATATAGAGTTGAAAGTCGATGTAGGAGGAATAATAGGAATTGAAGAGGAGGTTGATTATGAATACAGTGGTCTTGAGTGCTGTTAGAAGTATGAGGGCGGTTATCACTTCCCGGTTGCCCACACCGTGGAAGGGTTGTTCTGGAGGTACCTGAAAAGGAAATTGGATTAGAGGTGGTCTCAGTGACCTGAGAGCGTGACCGCAGTGCCCAAGGGACAACTGCTTGAGGCCGGTCGCGCACGGCCTTTTCGTGAGAGGTCTTTGACGTGTTAGCTCCGTTCTTCAAAGGGCCTTACCGCCGGAGACGGAAATCCGTGAGGTAAGGCGAGGTGTGCATTTTTAGGGTCGACCTTGTCTAACCCCACCACTCACCACTA